TAAAAGAACCTTTGTGCCATAAAGTGTAGCTACAGAAATGCTGGCTTCTTTTAGACTCTCTCACTGACACTGCCATCTCCTGAGAGACCACAAATAAGCGTTCTGCTGCTGCTGTCATTTGAAGTAACGCTCCTGCCCACGTTCCTGGTGTTCACAGTGTTTTACCCCGGTACGATCTTGCGGCCAGGAGGAAAATATGAAAATTTTTTTGTGAAGGCATTAGAAGCTCTGGACAGAAATTGTGTGAGCTGGGGAGTAATGAGATCGATTCCCTTACCTAAAATCGGCATAGGGGAACACCTCAATGACTATAACTGCGACTGTAGAAGTATCTCTTTTCAGATATGAGGTGTGGACCTCCTCCAGAAATCGCTGGTGGTAAAGTTCAAGGTGTTAAGAAGTCAAGGTATTTGCCTGGGGAGACAGCTCAATATGAGTGCTGGGAAGGTTTTCGTATGATTGGAGCTTCCACCATAAGTTGTCAGAATGGGACCTGGACAGTGCTGCCCATGTGCAAAGGTACTTTTCCTGTCTTTCCATCCAGTAGCCTGTCGGTGAGACTGCCATCAAGCTGGCTCAGTGATATTTACTTCTTCAAATTTCAGTCTCTGAGCTGCAAGCAAGTGCAATGCAATGCACCTGACACTTAAGGACTCCCCAGAGCCCAAGGCCTGCCCCACCATTAACTGAAATTGTACGGTCCAGTGTCGTTTGTTCTAGTTTACAGACAGATTCACGCTTGTCCCTGCTCAGACAGTACAGAGAGCTGGTGGGCATCCAGTTCTGCAGAAAGAGCTGTGCCAAACATCCTGCGCTATTGTGTAGGACCAGAGAAAGTCTTGCAGAAAGCAGCAAATGCTCCAGAGATGAAATGTGGATGAACTGGTAGTTATGAGTCCCGGCAGTGGAAAAATGAGAAACTCTCGCTCTTCTCCATCTGCCAGATATTTGGTGTCAAGGTGGCAATTTTCTCTGCTTTCCTCTGAGTCTCTCTAAGTACGGGCTTAGTTTCCCAAAGTATTCGAGGCTAGGCCGCTCCTGCAATTAAGCTCTGATGCATTTCACTCTGAGTGTTAATGTTCTTTCAGGAAGGAGTGGGAAATGTGGTCCACCTCCAGATATTGAAAATGGAGATATTCTTTCCTTCCCGAAGTCAGAATACTCACAAGGTGAAACTCTGAAATATAAATGCCCTGATCTCTACATCCTGGAAGGATCTCAGCAGATCAGATGTATTAACGGGCAGTGGACAAATCCACCAGTTTGTTTAGGTAGGTTTAAAGCATGTGCTGCTTTGTTACTGTTACTTGCTACAAGAGCTATGTGACTGCTCACGCTGACTTTTTCTCAGATCCTGAAGGTGTTTCCTATGCGCTTCACTTGTGAAACAGCACTTGTGCTGTGGCTGACAGCAATGAGTCTTTCTTTTGTCCAGAAGGAATTTCCTCTCATTGTCAGCTTGTGTGGTCCCCTCTGCTGCCTGCAGCCTCTCCCTGCCTCCTCTCACTCACAGATCCAGAAGGAGGGGAGTTTGGCTGAACTGCCCATGTGAGGAGATCTCCATCAGTGTGCTGGGCTCCCGCGCTGAGAACACTGCCACGGTCTGCAGGCTGCGCTGGGGAGGTTGGCTCTGTCTGAATGCAGTAAATCCAAGGGTGACGTGACCGTGAGAAAATGAATTTAAAGAAGTGCTGGGACAAGGGAGAGGAGGATTCTGAAAAAAAAGATGCAGGGAAGTTGAATGCTGCCTGCTGAGTTCCCTTACCCCAGTCTCTGCTTCCCCCTTGCCCCGTGTGACTCTCAGAGTGAAACGGCCTCTCCGCAGCACTGCACGGTGACTCAACCATCATCTTTTTTTCCCTTCATTTTTGATGAAGATATCTCTCTTGTTGCAAAAAGCAAAGTCCTGGAAGCATTTTATGTTGTGAAGAACCTCTGTAGGGAGAAAAAGATTACATGTGGTGCATCTGTATGAATTGATGACGATGTTTTCTTGCCTTTTCCCAGTGGCCTGTACGGCAGCTGAAGAAGATATGTACAATAACAACATTGAGCTGAAATGGAGGGGAGAGAAAAAGCTGTATTCCAAATCGGGTGATTTTATTGAATTTGATTGTAAAATAGGAAATGTGAAAGACCCAGCATCTTCTCCGTTCAGAGTACAATGTACTAATGGCACATTTAAATATCCACGGTGCAATCCAGGAAGTAAGTCTTCTCCATTTGCCATTGTTTGGCTGCTGTTTTTTTGCATATTTAGTGCAGAAACTGAAAGGAAAGCCTTTAGGAAGGTGTTGTGGTGGGTTGGGTTTCCCAAGATGCTGCTGACAGGAGTATCAGAGAGGAAGGGGATCACCAAGCTGCTCGCTAGGGTTATTTGTTCTGTGACTGCCTGTCTAGTTCCAGAGAATACTGAAGAGCTCATGAGTTCTCTGAAAGTGATATCCCTGAAATTGTTTCCCTGACCGTGGGAGGACGGAAACCATTTCACTGCAGTCTCTCCCAAGCCTGCCTGTTTAGGCAGGGTTTTGCTCCAGAGAACTTCTCTCCTGGGTCTCTGTTGCTGCCATGCTGTGCCCCCTTTGTACCTCTATGGCCTTTCCAGCTCCTCTCTGCTCATACCATGTTCTGATATGTGTAGAGACAGCAGCTGATGCCCATTGCAAGCCTTTGTAGGCTTCTCAGCAGGGAAATCTGTGCTTGTCCCCTTCTACAGTTTCCCTGAGCAGGCTTGACTGGATCATTGCTAAAGAGTATGAAATGAGCTTTTATCCTTCATAGTCTGCACTATGTTTCACAAAAGGGAAGCAGAATAAGTGTTCGAGGCACTCAATTGGTACCAACATCTTCAGAGACTTGGCTTCCAGTGTGAGATCTACAGGCAAATCATGAGAATACTTCACGTTGTTAGTGGAGTTTTTTGTTTTCCAGGGGACTGCAGAGTGCTTGAGTCAGAAATGGAAAGGAACAACATTAAACTAGAATGGAATAAGCCTTACACCTATCGCTCTAAGGAACGTATTTCCTTTACATGCAAATGGTTTTATAAGGCAGTTTCAAGACCAGAGAAATTTAACCCACAGTGTCTGGATGGAGTAATTGAGTACCCTCAGTGCACATGTAAGTGGTTCATGTGGGAGGGCACGGGGCTGTAAAAGAACTGTAGGCAATAGCCAAGAAGGACTGTAAAAAGAGGGTCAGATTCAGGGGCCTTCCCTTAATCCCATACGAGTCTATGTCTGTCATGGAGGAGCTGCTCCTGTTCCAAGGGACCTGGGGAATTGAATACAAGCTGGGAGCATGGTTGGCAACTGCTTTTCACTGCTCTCGGGAAACGTGACAATCTGTCAGCCTTGATGATCTCTATTTCCTCTTCTGTCTCTTTACAATGCAGGAATAGTTGGATAGATGGAAATGATGTGACTGAGTCCAGCTGGAGAAATGAACTCTCCTTCAACAAATCCAGTGATTTGACTCAAGTTTTCCCGGAGTTTCCTGCTTTATTGTGCTTTGTAGCTTAGATAGTTCTCTCTGCTGGAATTTGCTAATTAATTTTCTTTATACTATTGGATGATTTTGTTCAAATTTAACCATTTTTTGTAAATTTGTTTACATTCTGTAATTGTGTTTACATTTCATCCACCCAAGTGATTGTACTTACTTGCATCTTGACTATTCTGCATTGATCCCTGTTACTTTTATTTACATTTTCATCCTGAAGTAGGCTGGCTTTGGTGGCATACTGAGTCAAGAATTAAAAAGCCTGCAGGTAATTTGATTATCAGTGTATTTCGCCTCATCTGCTTCTAGCTTTTTCTCCATAAGTATGTCTGAAACTTAGCCTGGGATGACGGCAGAGACAGGGTGAGTCTTCTTTAAACAACTTGGGGAATCTCTGGATCACAGAACCCGATTCCTACTCAGGACCTGAGCTTCCGTGTTATTTGGTGGAAAGGCAAGATGCTGGGATGGAAGTAACTAGCTGGGATTTCAGGATGTAGGTAGGCACAACTCTTTCAGTCCAGGTCCTGAAATGAGACCTGCCATCCTTTTCATTTTTTGGTGAGCCTGCATTGCTGAACTGATGGATCCGAGAGGCTTGTGCTTCATTTCTTTTTTTGGTAATTGATCCAGGGGTGACATATTGCAGCTGATGGGTAGGAACAGCTAATGTGTTTATGTAGCATTGGCGTACTGCTCACTGGGGAGTGTTTTTTCTGCCCTACTTGATAGAGCTTCATAGAAGATATGCTCTTCATTTTTCTTGAAGTTCACTTTCCTAAGAATGTTTTGAAAGGTAGCATGCACAGCACACACAGCTGGCGCAGCAAGGGATGATTCTTTGACCTCGAGATGCCTTCAGCACAGAGAGATTTTTCTTTAACTTCACCTAATTAGTTCAGCCAAGCTCATGAAAATGAACAAAACAATACACTGCATTTGTGTACTGTTAATGGAGTCTATCCGTCTTGGTATTCGTGTAACGTATAAACATGAGTTGAGTTCTAAGAAAATAGAGCAAGTAAGTAGTACCTGATTTTCCTGTTGTTGCTTTTGCTGATAAGGGAAATTACAGGACAGCTAAAGCCTTACTTTAATCACCAAATAATTGGACACGACTTCTTGGGATGAGATCTCAAGAGAACAAAGGCCTGCTGACTCCCTTTGCACAGACAGGTCTTTTGTTGCAGGAACTTGGGGAAGAGGGAATCTTTCAGCTGAAGACTGGGATGAATCAGTGCTGAAGGTCCACTGGAATAGTAGGACTCCAGTGTAGGGTGCAAGTACCCCTGCACAATATAAATCTATCGAGAGTAGCAAGAAGCTATTAAAGCTTCTGTTTAGACTATCAAAAAAAGAAAGAAAGAAGGAAGGAAGGAAAAAAAAAAAAAAAAAGAGAGAGAAGAAATTGAGCTTTAATGCCATTTAATATACAGACTTGACAGCGGTGTTCTCACTCAGTTTCTGTTAGAGGACCATGGGTCATGTAAGGCAGAGAAGTGTCCTGGGGGAAGAGCTGGTGCTCCATATTGCGTAGGGGTTCCATTTAGCTGTCTGCACTGTGGGAATGAGAGAGAGGTAGACAGTGTATTTTAACGTTTGTATTGAGAAGAAGTGCATGTTGGGTTGGTTTGTTTGTTTGTTTTTCAACTTTGATGAAGCCTCTTGTTTCCAAACCTTATCCAGATGACAGGAAAAGCACTGCCAGTACTTTCAGTGCAAAGCAGTAGGCTACTGCAGCACGTTATTTACTTTATGTGCTCATCTTCACAGCCTTACAAATGGCATTCGTCTGCCATGTATTGTTGCCAAAGGGGAGCTCTCCCTCCCCCCGGCTTCAGCCAGAGCTGAAGATCTGGTAGTAAAACAAATGCATAACTTTGAATGCAATAACAGCAACAGAATGAGAAGAAATCTTGACAATATATGAGCAACGTTAATAATAGTAAGCAGTATTATGAAAACAGTCCTAGTGAAAATGCAGCAATAAGCTGAATACAGTGATAAACAATTCATCACGTGTACTGCCTACACAAGGTAACTAAAATCCAAGTTCCACAAACACAAATACTCCTTTTGACATTCTCTTGAACAGAAGCACTGGCAGAAGAACTGTAAGCCTCACAAAATTCTTCTTCCTAACATTTCCACATGCAGTCTGAAATATTGCATTGTGCTGCTGTATACTCAGTCCTCAGTCCACAGAACATTTTTTCATTTCCCTCTCTCTTCAACTCAGATTCAACAATGCCATTGAACACTCATTTCTCAAAGTCAACTGTAGTCATCTTGAAGGTAGGAGGCCACCTTAGTGCAGCCATTAATAGTAGGTAAAGAACACATACATACCTTTCCTATACATTTTTTTTGAAGTCATACTTACCTATTCTCTCCTTTCGACACATCTTGGATACTCTAGCTGTCCTCTCTTGCACTGCACTTGAAATAAAGTCACACCAGATTCTGCTCCAACATGGTTCTGTTTGCAATAAAATCCAACATATTCTCCATGGTAAAAGTAAACTTGGTTCTCATAAAAACTTTCCAGCAGCACATTATTTTTTTCCATTTCATTCTTTGACAAAGTGCACGGCTCTAACAAAGAGAGATATATTCAGTGTTAATAAATCAATTATTTTTGAAATCAGACTATTGTGACTAGAGTTGATGCTCAAAAGGCAGGTTATTCCCCGTTCTCTTAAGATATCATAAGTGAAATCACTGTATTTTTGGACACAGCTGGCACGTAAGATGTACTTACTTAAAAAAAGCTAAACAAGGTTGTACTTGCTTCTATTAAAACATGCATTCCTTTCTAACTGAAAAATGCAGTCGAGATCTTAATGATGTTCCAGTTGACAACGCTCACTCTATAAATACTGAGCGTCAATCTATAAATAGGTCACATCTAGCAACCAGAAATAAATGCTTATATATCTTATATATCTTCTTGTGCCTACCTATACAAAGTGGTGGTGAAGTCCACCGGCCTTCGGAACAATAAATTCTCTCAGATCCTTGCAAGAAGTAATAATCAGAGCAACTATACTGAACTGAAGAACCATTGTCATACTGGGCCAGAGGTGGGAGAGTAAGAGCTCCATTTGCAATAGACGGTGGAGAGTCACATTTTTCCGTGGGAACTGAAATAATGTCAAAAATCTGTGTGAAACATTCAGTATAAGAAACTAACAGATCAGCAGCTTTAAATTGTGTCAGCACTACATAAACATCAACTCAGTTTATTCTCAACACTTCTACATTACGTCTCAAACCGGAATGAAATCAGTGTTAGTTCTGAACGACGAGAAACCTCTTGCATGTGTTTCAGTGTTTACAGCTGTCTTTCTACAGCAGAGCTTCTACTTCATCCCTCCCTTCTCTTGCCTTCTCACCAGAGGAAGGTGTCTTGTTTTTATTATGCTTGTATATATTTAGCAACTATATTCTACACAAATTTAACAATTTATCTGTATTAGGTAAGGATATCTGTCAGATACTAAACTTTAATTACCATTTACAATAGTTTGTAGGCCTGTACCGCTAAAGCAAATGTTTCTGAATAGATTGATGAAATCAAAAGGACAAATGGAAAGCATTGTTTTACCTTGCAAAATACATTTGGGGTATTTCAGCCTTCCACGGTCACACTGAGTTCTCCCAGGGGATGGCATGGTAGTATGGGGAAATTTGTATCCTCGCTTACATTCGAACTCAATGAGATCACCGTGTAGGAAGACGAATTCTTCCTGTCTCCATTTCAACTCTATGTTGTTACTGTTCATATCAGTTACATTAAGAATGCACGGATCTAGGAAATAAAAACAATCGAGCAATTTCTTAGCTCCTTTTTCTAGGAGTTGGGAAAAAAAGGAAATAAAATCCCACGGTACTAAAATATTTTGGAATTCTGTGAGAAATAACATTTTGAATATATTAAAAAGAAAAGAATACAAAAGTAAAGAAATGGACTAAAGTAACAAAAGTAAAATGAAAAAAACCCACTGAACAGTAATTCCCAGAAAACACAAACTTCTGATACAATGTTTTCTATAAATATTTTTAAACATATGGCATGCCTCATTTTGAAATAAATAACTAAATCTTAGATACATTATTTATTTGCATTATCACAGTAGATTAGAAACCTAAAGTCAATACATTTAACAATGGATCTCAGTGGAAAAATGATCCTTTTTTTTTTACAGGAAGGAAAGAAGAATACATTTATTGTATTTTTTTCCTGTAAGGCTTACCCAAGCAAGTAGGCCGTTCTGTCCAATTTCCTTGTTTGCAGTAAACAGTACTGGGTCCATCCAAAAAATGGTAACGCTGGCAACCGTATTCTACTGAGCTACCATTTTTGTAACTCGGTAATAAAGGGCCAAGGAGAACACCATTTTTAATCACTGGTGGGGAGGTACAGTTTTGCTGTATTTCTAATACAAGGTAAGAAGATACATAATCAAATCTTTAAAATGATGTCACCACTGTGAAGTATTTGAATAGCAATGGAGTCTGATCCAAAATTTGCATACAAATAAAGTGTCTGACAAGGTCCACAATTACTCTATTGAAGTGCAGGCAGTTTTTATTCATTCTACACTTCTCATCTATGTCCACTCTTAACTCCTGCTGGTTTAGAGTCGATATGGACTTGTCGTTTGGGTGCGTGAGACCCTCTTGATTTGTTGCTTGAAATGTTAAACCCACATGGAGTTCAAAATAAACCTCGGTGAACTATTAAATAAAGGATCAGCAAAATACTCCTGAATTTGCACATTCAGACAATAGTAACAGAAGCAATACAAAATGATTGCTGTTAAATGCTAATGCATGAAAGAAAATTACATATACAGCACTGTAACATCGGTTTAGTTCACAGTCTCTGGAAATATGAAAGAATGTTCTTTCCTTCAGGCATACTGCTAAAACAATACATGAAGAATAAGCAAACATCTTCAAGAGTGAGAAATGGTAGCGTAGCAAAAGAGTAATAAGGTTAGTCATGAAATACCTGTAACAGTATTAGAGAGCATTGGATTTCCCATTAAATAGAAAAGCGTGTTTCACCTACTCATTTCTTCACTGTGATACGTTTCGCTTGCCCTTATCGACGCATTTTCCTTGAATACTGGTGTCTCAGATTCCCTTTTATCCATAGATCCTAAAATCACAGCAGAAACTTAGAACCAGATTCCTTGAAAATAATTCTTTTTCAAATATTAACAAAAAGAAAGAAAGAAAGAAAGAAAAAAAGAAAGAAAGAAAGAAAGAAAGAGAAAGAGAAAGAGAAAGAGAAAGAGAAAGAGAAAGAGAAAGAGAAAGAGAAAGAGAAAGAGAAAAAGAAAAAGAAAAAGAAAAAGAAAAAAACCACTAAGAAATAATCTAGCTCATCGTCTTTCTTAGTGTGCAGCACTCGAACTCTCAAGCATTTATCAGCATTTATCGGAGGAGGACAAATAGCTTTGCAGGTATGGAAACTGTGACTATTGAGAACATTAAGATACTGTTTAAGAATTATTTCGGCTGCCAGAGGTACTAACCCATGCAGATAGGAGGTGACGTCCACTTTCCTTTTTCACACTGGATTTCCCCAGATCCTCTTATTTCATATTCACTCCGACACTGTATACGAACTCTGTCGCCATTGTGATATGTTCTCCTAACTGCGATGATACGGGCGTGAGGAGGCAGTGGTGGCGGAGGACATTTATTTCTTACATCTGAAAATAAAAAGCGCATTCTTTTTCTCAGTAAGAAAAACTGTAAGCAGAGCAATTCATTTCACCATGCAGTGTGCGAGTCTATGTTTTTAGAAGAGGAGGAATCTCTTATCTACCCAACTCATTTACTAAAATGAAGATTTAGAACAAAAATGGGATTTTACTTTCAACAAATATGAAAGAGAGGTATTATGATATTGCACTGTTATAAACAAACTGATAATTTCTTGTGTACTCAGTAAAATGTTCATTCAAAGTATTCAAGTAACAGAGATTCTCCACACCATCCATTAATACAATACTTAACACAGCTGATGTAGCAATTCTAATACTACACAAGCAGTGAAAGCAGTGATTCATTTCCATTCCTCAAATGAGGTTTGTAATCAGTATTGCCTCAAAATTAGATTTAGGCCACATTTTCATTTCTCCTGAGCACCTCTCTTTCTTTGTGCTCACCCAGGAAACAGTTCTGAACAAATGCAGGGCTGAGGAACATACTGACATCATTTTTTTTTGAGAGATTTTATCGCATTTTAAACCCAAGCATGCCTTCTAGGAAAGGAACATAAATTTCATCTTCATACCAATCACATTACCTTCTACTAGATCAACTACAAAGGAGTACTGTGCTCAGCTTTGGGCTCCTCACTACAAGAAGGATACTGAGTTAATTGAAAGCTGGTAAAGAGACTGGGAAACAAGATATGTGAGAAATGGCTGATGGAATTAGGCTTGTTTTCTGGAGAAGAGAAGGCGGACGGGATACTTCATCACTCTACAACCACCTGAGAGGAGGCTGCAGCAAGGACATAATCCGTTTCTCTTCTCATGTGACAAGGGATAGAAAGTGAGAAAACAGCCTCGAATTACACAAGGGGAGGTTTAGATTGGACATTAGGAATAAAATTTCTTCATGAAAAGAGCAGTTAGGCCTTGGAAGACACTGCCCAGTGAGGTGATGGAGTCACAGCCCCTGGATGTGTAGGTGTGCTGCTTAGGGACAAGGGTGGACTCGATGATCTTAAGGGTCTTTCTTCCAACCTAAATAATTCAAAAACATCAATTTTACTTAAAAATGCACTTAAAACAGTAGTGGGTTTTTTTTAAGGAGAAATAATTATATATACTTTCCTCCTCAAGCATCAGAGAGAAATGCTGTAAAATAACTGTTCTTAGTACCTCGAGAGGCATGCTCTCATCGCAGGAAGCCTCTACACATGCTTGAATAATCCTTCAAATAAGGATTATTAATATAATAAACCCGGTTTACCTTGAACTCTAAGGGCTGAGCAACTTCCCCTCAATTGCTTATAACCACTTTTCCAGGAAACAACACGTGGAAGCAATAGCAGGTAACAGTACCCGCTCGATTGTTAGATTCCACCTAGAACAGGTGGAAGCAGCCTAATTCCAATCGCCATTTCCTCTTCCCCACCATTTAGGCTTTGTATTCTTCAGCTAACAGTTTATTTCTACTTAGGTTGTAAACTGGTACAAGAGCTTATTTTTCTTTTGTATTCAGAAAGAAAGCATTTCATTTCAAGAATACGCTGGAGAATTTTGCATATTACAAATATGTAAAAATAAGGTACCTTCACACACTGGAGGATCTGGATACCATCCAAAGTAATAACATTGAATCAGGTCAAATTCACGGAAAGAATAATTTTTCTCACAGAAAAAATGAACAACATCTCCTTCTTCATAGATTTTCTTCACAGGATAGAAACCTCCATGTTCTATTACACCCAAGGAGGGGCAGGTTTTTTCTAGGGAGAAAACATAAAAAACTTTTTTATCCCAACAGTTGATAAAACATAAATTTTTTATTCAGTTGTAAGCTATATGTCGCATTTCAAAAAGAATTCATTTCAAGTCCACTACATACTCGAGCAGTTTGGAGTAAGGGACCATCCATGAGCGAGACAAACTGCCTCTCCTATAGTGTTTCCTCCTGCAGCGTGGTATCCCTCATCGCATTTATACAGCAGCACTTCATTCACTCGGAGCTCTCGCAGGGTCGTGAAGTAGGTGCCATGATGTAACTCAGGCACTTGGCATGACTCTTAAATGAATACGACACATGTAATGTTGTTGCGGAGTTTTTTTTCCCCTTTAAGCTTACTCATCTAAAATTTCCCTTTAAAGTGATCGTGTCTGAGGCAGTCTTTGGAAATAATGAACTATTAAAAATGCAACAGTTTACATAGGTTTTCTAGCATTTGTTTGGGTGCAAAGTTTGGACAGAAATGGGTTTATTTGAAACAAAATTATCTCACCTATACCGATTCCACAATTTTATCTATACCAATTCACAAAACAAGCAGCGTGAAACATCCGACAACTTCATCACGTGAGGTACAGATGGGAACCTAATTCAGGAACATTCAAATAACCTTACAAAGGCAGTTTGACCTTACAGGTACGGGAAAGACAGCAGAATTTTATAAATTAATTAAATTAATAAAGTATAAATTTTATATATGAAATAAGAAGGAGAGAAACACAATCCTACCAACTTTCTTAGTACAGCTTGCCTGGGAAGACCATCCATCTGATTGACATTGCACCGTATCTTCAGTACCACCGCTGGGAGCGTGGTACCCTTGATTACATTTGTATTGTAATTTCTCATGTATTTTGAAGTACATTTCTGTACCATAAAAAATGCCATGTTCCAGAAGAGGCTTATTACATTTTTCTAAATGAAAGGAGACAGTTTGGTTAGGAATCAATAATTAATGTAATATTGTTTCTGATAGGCAAAAAGTGGGGTTTTTAAATAATCTCCATCCAAATTCATTTTCTTGTTTTAGTGAAATGCTACCGCAATCATTGAACAGACAGTAGTACCACAGAATATGTCACTCTGGAGCTAAGGAGGCTCAGGTGCACGTCTGCAACTAAAATGGCAATTATTTTTCCCAAATTAAGTTACGCTGGGCAGCTTTCTTGAAATTCTTAAAAAGCATATGTGGTAAGAGTCCTTAGAACATACACTAGTGTTAAACAATTCAATGTATGAATATACATAGCGGATTTCACCTCGACCTAACCTAGGCATTTTTATCCCTGCTATTCTGTTGCTTAAGGAAATTGAGCTAAAACAGTTTTCTGCTAGAGGCAATAATGAAATGAAGCTAACTCACTGTAGCATTGTGGCACTGGAGACCATCCTTTTGCTGTACAAGTTATTCTTCCGTCTTGAGTCCCGGTTTCAGTAGTATAACCAGCCACACAAGAATAGGAAAGGCTTTTTCCTTTACGCATAGGGAAATAGTAACCTTTGAAGCTGTAATAATATGGGGCAATCCTTCCATTTTCTACGTGCGGCAAATCACAAAGTTTATCTGCAAAGACATAACACGTGTATTTCTCACTAAAAATCTCATCCCATCTAAGAACGTATTTGTTTAAAAACAGTTGGAGTAATTCAGACTTACAAAGGGAATGAAATACTGCTTACAAGGTCAAAGCCGGTGTATTTGCAGTCACTGTTAAATGAAAATAGTATTGTTCTAAAGTTATCATACTTACTATATGTTTTTACTAAACCTCATCCTTGGCACGAAGAGTCTTACAACACGCACTGAAATTACAATACTTCACAAATATATCTGCCTACGTTCTTTAGGTTCACAGAAATACAGTCAGTGGAATGAAACTTCCTACTATGAACAGGGCAAAATGGATGCAGGGCACATTTATTTGACTCTCTATAGCCTAGAATATGTAAGCACGAGCACCTTCTACTGAAAAACCATTCTGATGCACAGACCGAAGTGAAGTGGAAACAGCAGCAAGAATTAGCTATGCGATAGCTGCTCATTCAGCATGACAAACCAACAGGAGGTAATACGGAAGGTGACTCACTGAAGGAAGGGAGGTTAAGAACAGAAGTCACAGTTCAAGCAGTACGTATTCTAGACAGACCCAGGAATTTCAAACGGTACTGAAAACGGGGATAAGAAATGTGAAACACCACCCGAGGCTAACTTCTGCAGGCACCATTTAACTTCTGCTCTTCTGCTCGATGGTTAGCCAGAACAGCCCAATTATTGAGACACGCCAGCGTACATAATGTCTAGGAGGGCAAATTTCCATTCGTGTATTGCCCCAAAGTAGCTCAGATGATACATTTCCCGAGGAAACTTCTGAATAGAAATCTGGACCTTTCCATTATACACCTTCAAAGTGTACATGTGAATCTGTAGCTCAGACAACAGCAACAACTGATCCACGATTATCAGCGATCTTGCAACAAAGCTGTATTTAAAAAGTGGTCTTTATTCTCGGTCAAGATATGAAAGACACCCCGCCTTAGAACCTTAAACTGCACGTTCTACATTCGTTGCATATTTATCAGCAAAAGAATTCAGCATTTTTACCTTCTGCAAAGAGTTTGCCTGAATTCATCAAAACTAGGAAGAAAAAACAGCTCTTAAATCTCATCTTCATTACCGTCCCCATCAATAGGTTCCATCATCTGCAAAAACCCCCCGACTATCGCTTCCGTAAATGATTAACTGAATTTTCAATGGTATTCACAAACGCTGCAATGCCCAGAGTGTTTTGCAACTCAAGTTACTTCACCGAAAACTTTATTTGTGTTTTAATTCTCCACAAACCACAACTAGACGTGCAGAACTCTACTCCCACTGGACACACTTTATATCAGTAAATGGGATTGAACTTGTTATATAACAGTAAAACTGGGCAACAAACCGAATGAAACAATTAAAACCAGTTGAACGCTGTTCCCATTAGAACCTCTCGAGTTTCAAGTTTAAAGGGCATTCTGTTATCAGGTTACTATTTACCTTGGCTGCAGCAAGAAGAAATAAAAAATTCCCTCTCACTCACTCCTTTGCATTCTATCTGTAATTCATTCTGGAGGCCCTAATATTAGTGAGAACATAACCACGTAACCACTGCTCTTTCCCATCCTTATGTTCCATAGCATAGCCATCCACCTTTCTTTTAAGCAAAGAAAAATGGAACAACGCTGTTATCTCAAGAAGTTAGATTAAATTAGTTAGATTAAATGAGTTGTTTTTACAGGTGTTTTGTACTGTTTGTTGAAAGCAGATGAATCAGCCTTGATTTCAAGCTGTTAGGAACAAGGGTGTGCAAAAGCGTTCCATTCTTTTTCTTATTCCTTCCTAGTTAAATAAAGAAAAAGTGCCTTATTTTCTATAGCGTGTGATAAGAAGAATGTCAATTAAGTTTTCTTAAATGGAAAAAAGAAACTTGAAGTATTTTTTACCAGCGGAGATCTTTAGAACTGAACTCTGAACACTACTTTTATGCGTTTCATGTCTTTCCAACCAGCTCGGAAATTTGATTCTGACTTTATTAAACATTCTAAATGATACTTGACTTGTGTAAGGAAAATAACCAGGTGCTTACTATGTTATCAATCAGATTGATGATTGACTCAGAAGGTTGTTTTTTAAAATGCGCAAACACTCGAGACTTATTTGTACATCTGAAAGTCTGCGTGGGTTGCTTTGGTGTCACACTAATTTGTGAAGTAAAATTCCATTATATAAATCTGAAATTTATGCACCCAGGGAACTTCAAGTCAGATTTGTACTGCATCACAGTGTTTTTTTGTTTGTTTGTTTTGTAAGAAAACTGAATTGAATTGCTATGTTAAAATTTTGCTTTTTTTTTTAAACAGAAAGAAGCTGTGATTAATTAATAAATGTTATTGCAAAGTATGTATTACTTTCTCCACCAATAATTTGTCTTTTGTAGAGAAAACAACACATAACGGGTCATAAACATACTGGGTGACTTACTGCTAACTGAAATGCCTTCTTCTTGATGAACGGACAAAAATGTCAGTTGGTATTTGGGGTGACTATTTTACTGTGGCTTAAATTCATTTTTTTGGTATAAGGGTTATGCAGAAGAAACTGATGCTGAGAGGTCGCCAGCATCTTTGTAGAGAAGACGTGGCCGTGAAGCCCACAGCGAGCGGAAGCGTGTTTGGGTTTTGGATCTGATGGAGAAAGCGAGTCTGTAAAATGTCAAAGACCTGAGGAAAGAAACCGAAATTTGCTATTGTCCTTGTAGTCCAAAAGATGGATTTACTTTTGAATACAGAGCTAGTGACGGTGAGTTCACCGGACTTCATCAAATCTCACAGCGGGCCAAAAGTGTATTTTATTAAGTTGTACATTTTTGTTTATGATAGGCAGCATAAAGTTTATGTGTGTGTCATGTTGAGACTTAAGTAAAATCAAACATTCTGCTGTTCTTCTTTTGAAACATTCCTGTGTAAAAACTGCAATAATACCACCACACAGAGTGTATCCTTTCTTGCATTCTTTTATGTGCAATGTTTCCCATAGCACTCGACCACCTGTAACTTTTCTCACCTAAAATAGGTTTGGGGAGGAGCTCAGAGCTTGAATTAATCTATTAATTTAAAAAGTAGCAGTTTTTCAGGGGAAAAAAAAGATGAGTTATCAATTGGGTACAGTTGCAACGAACTTTCCTAAAATGAAAAGGCAGCTTTGAGCTTTCCCTTCAAAGGTCATATAATTCATTTAATTTCTGATACAATTCTTTAGCTTGTCTGAGCTAGAAGTGTTTCACTGACACGTGTGGAGCTGTGCTGGGCTCACAGTGAAGACGTCGTCCTTTTCTTTAAACAAATCATTAGAATAATACGTTGGTTTAGAATATGTCACAAAGCCATTATTAACGTTGTTAAAGGCTCAATGTGTTTTTAGAATGTTTGATTACTGTTGTCCTCCGTATGAGCGACTGTCTGTTGATTTTCTGTTTGTACAGTTTTTTGTTTTTGAGCAGACCAAAATCCAACAGCGTCTCGCAACGCAGTAACAGCGTTCAGAACTGAACTATTATCACTGTTACTTTTCTGTAGTTCTTTCCATCATTCTCTTCAACGAGGTTGCGTTGGTGACATATTTTTTTGTGTGGATTTAGTATTACATTATCATTTTTCATTTATTGTAATTTAAAATTAATACAGCCTATACCTGCTGAGTTTCTTTTCAGATACTCAGAGGTCTTATACTATTCACCATTTTTCAATTCGGTTGTCAAAAGAAAGCACATCACTGCTAGGTTCTAGTTCTTCACGCCAGTAACACATCTTTGTGATGTTCCAGGTTTCTTTTGCATTCCATCCCATCCAAGAGTTCCCAAGCCTGGGGAGGAAGCAGTACCATCACCGGGACTCTGAACTGTGCGTAAAGCATTTCTACAGTATTTGAGGCAGAGTATAAGCTTCCTCATCTTGAAGATTCCACGTATGTTATGTTACGTATGTTATGTAATGTCCGAAGACTCACATGAGAAATGTACATTAGTTTGCTTTTGAAATCTCTAATGAATCATTTCCTTTCTCTTAGCGCTACGTTTTTCTTTTGTTGTGGGGTTTGTGAATGGGAAGGAGGAGCAAGACACAAATATTTTGTTGCAATTCTTTAAGATTTAGGGTTTTTTTGTTTACCTTTTGCTCAAGCTTTGTTGTCATTGTGGACAATGTGTTCGAGGTGATTCGAGGTGTATGTATATCCATAGGCACCGGTACGAACTTCCCTAAGTCTGATGGTCGGCTCTTAATGGCTCAGGGTAAAACGTCAAGTAAATCCAAGGGCAATCTCATTTCAGTGTAAATGCTTTTATTTTTCTTGGAGACCAAACAGTACCAGTGCACCGGCACGAGTTTTTGCTGTATAATCACCGTTTCCTTTGTAATTACCGCCGTGGTTTACTCAGGACCACGTCCCCTCCTTTGCGGGGCAGCCGTGCCGCGGGATCGGGTGTGGCTGCGTGTGACTGACGGGTAGTGCGGTACACGGAGGGCACATTTCGGGTAGCCGGCGCTCCCTACTCTCCTGATGGCAGATCGCCTGGTGGCCTTCCGCTGTCCCTAGGCAGGAAATGGTTTAGTCTGTCACGTCCTCAGTCACAGGCTCCTTTGCATAAGCCGCTCGTGCGAGCACGCTGTGCGAGCCTTCCCCGTGACGCCTGCCCTACCTGCGGGAAGGAGCGCCGGAACAGGAGAGAAGGCTGATGCCGCGCGACTCAAAAGACGAAATACTTCATTTAAATTAAAAAGGGACAGAAAGAACGCGCAGACGAGCCGCTCTTTACACACGTCCGTTGCCAACCCGTTCCCGCCGCGGTGCAGCCCCTCGGGCACGCGCACGGCTCTGCGCTCCGGCCGCTCGGAGATGCGCGTGAGTGGCGGCGCCGCGCGGCTGCCGGGAGCCGCGCCGTGAGCCGGGCGGGAGCGAGTGGGAGCGGAGCGCACCGTACGGCCCGGTAAGCGCCGCGGGGGAGCTGGGGGGTGGCTGCTGTTTTTCGACCTGTCTTGAGACGTGGAAAATAACCGTTTTGAAGCTTCCGAGCGCGCTGGGAATTTCAGCGTGGTCCTTGCGTTGTTATTGCTCGCGCTGAAGCTGGAGCAGCCGTAAGCCTTATTTCAAAGGAATGAGACCCTGCGTTCAGTCTTCTCCTTAAACGCTGGGCCCGACGCTGTTTGGGTCAAAATATATTATTCCTACTGCTTTGTGTAATTTATCTGACCCTTCATTTTCTTATTTGAGTAACCAAAGGCGCGGAGCTGTTTCCCTGCCAGTAAGACTCAGTGGCTACGTTATGTTAGGAACACGTAGCAAAGCACAGGGTCACTTTAAGCATTCACCAAAGCGTACGTTTGCCAGGCCAAACTGATCAGGAGCCTCCTTATTCCCTCCTTGTCCTGTGTCGTTTCTGAGTCGTGAAAGATTTTTATGATGAATGGGCACTTAGGGGAAAATAGCAATATTTTGTTCTGTTACTTGCTGAAAGTAGTAGTTCAACTGCTGCGTGTGGCAGATCCCTGTGGTAGCATTTCTTTATCATTCGGCTTTGTAAACATGGAGAGCACACAATGAGACCCCAGCCTAATGTAAGCTTTGAAAGCTGTTTGACTTTGTTAATCCCCTTGATTTGGCCCTGGAGAAGAACTACGTGCACTCCAAAATGGCAGAGTACCTGAATTACCCCCCACCGACACCGGCGTCGCTGGGTTCCGGATCGACGCTGCCAAGCGTGAGTAGCCGGGGGATGGGAAGGCAATTGTAGATGAGCTGAAAGATCTGAATGTAAACGGTTTTCTGCAGGAGCTAAGCCTTTCATTTATCAGGAGTCAATCTGTTTATTTTCTTGAGTTGACTTGACATGCATATTTTTAGAGGAACAGCATACACTCAGTCCTCCCACTTAAAGCAGTGTTTTGCTTCGGATAGTCCCGAGCAGCCTTGACATGAAACGCTGTTGAGATTCAGTAATTGTAGTTTGAAACATCTGATGTGACTGCGAGTGTTCACTGAAATGAAAAATGCCTCAGTTGTTTTGGGCCTCGTGGCACTAATTAACCTGGAAATTTCATTTGGGATGTAATTTACGGCATTGAAGTAAATGTA